TTGCCACATGTTCTATTCAAATACTATAATAAATCTAGAACGATGTATTAAAAAAATTAAGCAAACAAAACAAAAAAGAAACAGTTTTTCACAGACGATTGAGTATTTCTCATTCAATTAATTCAGTTCTCATTTTGCGACAAGGCAAAAATACATAAAAACTCAAAATATCTGTATTAAAAATTACGAAGTAAATCTTAAACACTTATTTCCTCGAAAAAATTCCAGAAAGGATTAAGCATGATTTAATTGGCAATAATAAATGAAGGCGTTATCTTTGTTGTTGCGAAGCTAAGTTTCTCTAGATTGGCAACAAATCCACTATCCTGCTGTTTCAAATGTAAACAACCAATGGCCGCCATCAGGAAAATTATTAGGCTTAGCGGCACTTAAACAACTTTAAAATTGTTGATAATTCTAAGAATATTGCATACATATTTACTAAAGGCATAAAAATCTTAACCTGAAGATACGAACAACATAATTCAATCATTTTTAAAGCAAAAAAAATGTACAATTTACAAACATATAAGAGTAAAGAAACTAAGATCACTGAGCCGGGTAACAGTGTGGATATATATATATATATTTATATACGTCTGGTGCGGCCGATTGCAACCAAAATACAGGGAGGTACACATCTACATGTTATAGCAGTCCTATATACAACAATTTCAACGTTCTTAAGGCTACTCGTTTTTGAGTTATGCGAGATACGTACGTACATACGTTCGTACAGACGCCAACGAAAATTCTCTTCAGAATTCATTTTAAAGCAGTTTTATAATTTTCTTGGATGAAAAGAGTATTTTATTCTGTCCTTACGTACAGATATCACGCAAAAACACCGTTAAATTGCATTCGATAGCGGCCAAAATGGATATTTTCGTTGAAATATGCTGAAACTTTTCGCGATTATAATACTTCCTTTTTACTTTGTACAAGGAAGTAAAAATTGGTGCTTTGAATTTCATTGTCGATGTAGCTATCAAAACTTATTATTGAAAATAGGCAGTCACAGATGAAAGGTTTTCGCTTCCTGTTAAATGTAGTACTGTACTGAATACTATTTATATAAACTCCATGGTTTATTTTAGGGTTATGAACATTTATAATGTTTTAGTTTTTGTGTACTTACTGCAAATTGTCTAATTTTTAAATATGTAACCGTACGTAATAATTTTTCTGATCTCCTACTATTGCTATGATCCACAAAAAGCTGTATAACATCCGCGCAATGATACGTATGTAATTTGGAAATCTTGGGATAGAAAGGCTGCGTAATTAAGAAACTTTTATTGCAGAAAAAATGAAAACATTAATGATGAAATTTTTTAAATGAAAATGATACATATTTGACTTGCTGTGTAGTATTATTGAGCAGTGAAATGAAGACTTTTGTGATTATCAGTTTCCTAAAAAGTAAAATTTATTTAATGAAATAGTTTCCCAAATTTTGAATTTGAATCATGGTGGTTAATGAAGTGTATTCCCATTGTTGGGTCCAAGTTAGCATCCCAGACAAGGTTCAGATATTTGTGATTTACGAAATATGAATAAATAACATCTATTGATCCAAACATCCGCTCGAAAACTAGGTGAAAGAAGAAGAGTGAAAAGAGATACTCGCTTTATATTTGTCAGAGCTCTCTAGGTGAAAATAGCCCTCGTGTTCTTTGTTTAAACAAAGTAATCTAGTCTAATCAATTTTCAAATGTTACAAAATTCATTTTTTTTTAGTAAATTGTTATCATCGCCTAGTTCTGTATTAGTATTTTAAAATACTGGAGTTTCTTAACCTTGCGTTGTCTTATTTGTATAAAGTAAAAATGAAGAATCATATGCAAAATAATAATTATGATATTCTTAAAGAAGTTACTCATCAAACAATAAACTGATTCTGTTTATTTATCATGATGTCGTTTTCTTTCTAAATTCATATCTGCGTGAAGATGTAAATGTAATAAATCAAAATTAAAGTCTGGAGAAATAAAATAATAGTTTCCTTTAAAATTATTCTTCATTTTGAAATCTTGTTGTAGATTTTCTTGATTTAATATAAATGCAAATTCAAAAAGGTACATGTTTAAATTTTTGCTTTGAAAGCAACGCTACTAATTAAAGCCCTATTTTAAAAATACAAAGTGTGTATTTAGAAAAGGTTTGAGAAAGTTTGTTGTTACTAGATGTTAGTGTTCAAAAAAACCTAAAATTAAAAATATGTTCAAAACAAACTCCTTAATTCAAATTTAGAAAAAATAATTATTATTTTACGATTTTCTTATTTTCCCATTTATAATCTGCAATATTTATGACAATAGAATAATTGCAGAAGATAACACATTTGTAGCTGAAGAATATTTCGAAACTCCAGCAGGTAACTATTGTTACTGTAAATCATTTATACAGTGACTCACATAAGTGTTCGTATGCTTACGAGTTTCAGTGAAATGTTGCTTTATTCATTAATAAAAATTAATATTTTAGAATGAAAATTTTTTAATAATATCTATGCATTTCTCTTAGCAAAACTACATTAATTAGTAAATGAACATATTAAAACTTTTTTTTTGTAAAGTTAATAATAAAAAAGTAACAGAAAAGTTACCTGACAAAATTCTTCGTACGCTTTAAAGAACTCTGCATATATTAGTAAGTATTGTAGTATTTCTGTCAGCTAGTATTTTGTAGTATATCCTGCAGTATTCATGACAGCTTTCAAACGTCTGAGCATAGAGTTAATCAGTTTTTTTTTTTTTTTTTTTTTTTTGTAATATTTGCATTAATGTTCCTCAATTCTTCCATCACAACTCTTTTTAGCTCGATTTTTTTTAATGCGTGTCTTCATACTCTAACCTCTAATTCTCTCCAAATGTGTTCTGTCGGGTTTTAATCTAGTGACTGAGGTGATGCTTTACGAATTTTTAGACAATTATAGACACACCAAAGGCGAACGTTGAGGGCCTTGCGCTTAGGATCGTTACCATGATAAAAAAAATAAAGTTATTTCCTGTATCCTGATGCTGGCATGCACCCTCATATTAGAATCTCCACCTCCCTGCTTTTACTGTTCCAGCCAAGGTCTTGGGATTATGGTCCTCTTTTTTTTCCCTCTATATAAGTACTCGTATACGCCCATAGGAATCAAAAATGTTAAATTTGCTTACATCTGCAAATAAGACTTGATTCCAATATGCTTCGGGCTTATTTACCATTGATTTTGAGTAGAAAAGCCTAAGCTTTCTATTTTTTGCACTTCCAAAACGTTTTCTTCGAGCAGAGTGCTAAGTAATCCAGCTGATCTGAGCACTCGTTGAACAGATTTAAGTAAAACTGAAGTTGAAATATTTTCAGTAAATTCTTGTAGAAATACAACACTCAAACATGGATTTTTCACGGATTTTCTAACTATAAATCTCTGATCACGTTGAGTCACATCGAATCTTTTTTGCCGGACAACCTCTTATTACTTTATTTTGGATCTGATTTTCTTCTTTAGAGCATTTTATCACACACTGCACCGTAGAATGGGATAAATTTACTAATTTAGTGATATTCCGAATTGAATTTCCATCCTTATGATAAAAACATGATCAATTCTTGAATGCCCTTCCCTGCTTTCTTATGACTATGAGACATAGTTTAAACATTAAATAAAATATAACGAAGTAAACAAGGAAAACATAAAGCCAAGCAATTTTTTAAATGTTTCAAAAATAAAAAAAATGGTAGGCTATAATTTTATTTATGAAATTTTACGAAAGTTATTACTTTGTGACAGGGTTACTTTGTGACGTGTTTTATCTATGTCTCTTTACATTTTCGACTTTAGAAAAAGAAAATAAATCAGTATTAAAAATGAAAAAGTTTTGTTCTATTCAATATCACATGGAGATGATATGAACAAATATTGGGTTTTATATTCAAATAAAATTCCGCAATAAAGCGTTTTTCTGAAAATTCTTAAAATATACGAACACTTCTGTGAGACACTGCATGTTCCATGTGCTCTGCGCAGATGTATGGATACTAGAATACACCTAATTTATTGAAGAATTATAGCATCACTGTTTGAGGTACAAAAATGAGTACGTATACTATAGCACTAGTGCTATTTATTTCTTATTATTATTCTTGTTTAGATTAGTTCATTAATGATATCACTATTAAATAAACGTATAAAGTAGTTATCTGATAAAAAAAATGTATGAAAATGTTTTACACGGTTACGTTTTCATTAAGTTTGAATTTTTAAATGAAATAAGAAATTAAATTAATTGAATGCTTTTTACACCAGCTTAAAAAGAATAACTTTCGTACAATTGGAGCCAGTTATTTTATTTTCTGTTACTTTTTGATGTTCTGCAGATTAAAAAGTATATATATGTATATATATATATGTAATATTTTTAAATTACACAGCTAAATCCACTAAAAAGTAAAAAGCATTTTTAGCTATCAAAATATTCGTGATCATTATATGAATTGAAATAAAATTGTGGCACTTCTTTGTACGAACTGTATTTGAGCATTAATAATTTCAAGGAATAATTAAAATGATATTATAGAGAGAAGTATATAAGACTGATCCCTTTTAAATTCGCTTAATGTTTTCGAAAATTTTTATTCAACTGATTTGATTCAACCTCCATGATCTTAATCACACGAATACAGTTATAAAACATAGAATATATTTTCATCAAATAAAATCATGTTCAAAATATATCAATTTCCACCGAAAGATTTCGATGAACGTTATTCCGAGGACATTAAATGTATGATAACGTATGAGTGACAGATTTTATTATGATCTGTCCCACAGATACATTTGCTCATGTTATTAACATTTGGAAAAAAAAGATACTGGAAACAAACATGGGACATATTTTGTGTCTGCTTGGCGGCGAAGTTGGCGATTTCGCTTTTCAGTGCTGGGGTAACCCTATCCTCGGCTTGTACTTGTCCTTAATTTACTATAATTCAAAGGCCAAGCGTCGCAGGGAAAGCAATATTACAGCAGGAACAGCAGACTACTGCAATTTTAGATGTGATTACTGCTTTCGCTGGATTTGAGTTCGACTCTTTGTTGAATATTTTGTTTACGATAGTAGCTAATGTGATGTGATCTGAATGTCAGATACCAGACAACACATTAACTGCTAAATCACCCCAGATTTCGAATCGAAGGTGCTGCGCGTGTTATCGGAGTAACCATTTGGTGAGTTCTCAATTATATTTTGTATATTTGATTGATATACTGTATAAAAATGTGTTGAGGATAAGATGTAAAAGCGACAGAAAAAGAAGAAGGCAAATACTATGAAATGCAGTATTATATTATCATAATAGCGTTGTTAAAATACATCGAAACAGGATCAGCTATTGAGAGCCAAATAGGAACAGATATTTTTTCTCACTTTAAATATTAATTTCGAACTAAAAATACTTTACTTAATCTAATTATTTAGTTCACTGATATTAACATTTTGCATGTTATATGATATAAATCTCATACGTTTTAATAATCGAAAGCTTCCATCTTCTTGTATTGATTACTATTTCAAATCAAGTCTTTTTATCCTATTCAAAGTTTCGTTCCTGTTTTCCCTAATTTTTATTTGAAAAGAGAAATAGGCAGAGTAAATAACTGTTTTTTTATAAGTTCTTAAAATAACGCGTAAAAGCTAGTTTTTACATGTCATTTTAAGAAGTTAATGATTTTTTTAAATCTCTATAAAATTTTATTTCAAGGTTTAAGTTTCCTGTTTCTAATTTTTAATCCTTGCATTTTCAACTGCCTAATTTTGCTGTATAATTTATTAATTTATTACTTCATGGTTAAAGAATTTATTTCTAAACATATTACGTACTTCAACAGATGCATACAATAAAATGTTTAAGAATGTCCGGTTAATTATATTATATTATAAATATTGCAATTCTCAGGGATAATGATAAATGTTCGAATTTATTACTACTACTATCTACTGCTAACTATTATCTACTATCTGTCTACTACTAAAATTAACTACAAAATTTTGTCATTTCAAATTCTTTTCCTTATTCATATACCATATTTTTTCGCATCTCATTTAATTTTCCCCTAGTGTTTTCAACACACTTTGAAATTTCTTATTTAGGGTAACAATGTAAATTCTTAGCCAACAATATTGCACGGATTTGAATTGTAAATGCTGTTTTATGAAATATTTATTATCACATTATTGTTAACAATTGTAATACACTACTGTTATCAGCTTATTAGCATTATTCTGCTCTGCCTTTAACATCAGAATAATCAAAACCTAAATATTTTCAAGGATAATAAAAAAGTGGTCAAACAATTATCTAACAAATAATCAACAAAATATTACTTTTCTAAGCAGAACTACAAAATTTTGTTATTTCAAATTCTTTTCCTATTTCATATACCATGTTTACTCGCATTTCGTTTAATTTTCTCCTAGTGTTTTCAACACACAATTTAGAAATTTCTGATTTAGGGTAACAATGCAAAATGTGAGATAGAAAGTACTTTTTGTAAGAAACATTTTGTAATAAAAATAATATCATTGAAGCTGATAAGCCCTTTGAAATATATAATAATATTTATGTGCCTTTATATATGCTTTTTAATATGCTATGTTTATCATTTTATATCAGGGGTTCTTAACCAAAGGGGAATTTCATAGCTTCAGGTGGGGAATTCGGTCAGCCCTTTATTTAGCTGTTAAATATTTAGTTTTTAGTTTATGAATATAAAAATTAGTTTTATTCAAGCTTTCGTACTTATCAACATTTTCTATATTTCTTGGTAATCCTTGACAAGATTAAATGAGAAAATGTGTACGATTTATGTTCAACTAATACTTATCCATTTTATTAAGTACTTCTAAGCAGCTCATTTTATGGAAACAGTTTTTAACACAATGATTATCTTAGAATATCTTAATAAATCTTTCTGTGGATTTTAATATACAAATATTAAAGTAATTAGAATTTCAAAACTAAGCAAAATTGGTTTTTCATTTTGCGATTATTTAAAATTAGGGTGTTTTTTAGGTAAACAATGAATCAAGTTTAATTTTAAAATTAGGCAAACTTCAGTCTAAATTAAAGTAATTAATTCAAACTTTGATCAATGTGTAAATAATTAGTTACAAATAAGTAGAACGTTTTCTAATAATCTTTGATGAACAGCGAGCTGAATTAACAATGTCATTGAAATTAAAATAATATTAAAAAAAGCTTTTAAAATGAAATTCCTACTCTTGCATATAACGGAAATATTATTTCTACCAACTTAAGTTTCTTTTCTATTTTAAACAATGTTTATGTATAGTTATTTTATAACCCTGAAAGTATTGCAACAATTTCGTCTTCATTCTTCGTTACTTTTATTTTCTTCTTTTAAAAAGTGACGAAAACTCTTTTATGTAATGGCATTTTTGTCTTTCTTAAATAGGATATTCGTTTTAAAAATGCTATAACAATCTAGATTTGTTACACATGAGCTGTCATTTATAAAATCTCATTACATTAAGGAAAAAGTAATAGTTTCTTTTTTTAATTCTGAAAGTTTGTCACTTAAATTTTTGTTTAAATAATACAGAAAAAACATTCCTGTTAATCCAGTTAGTTGGATTAACAAGAATCATTTAATTTAACAAGAATCATTTGGTTCGAAAAATTTTCCAAATCTCATCCACACATAAAACAAATTTAAGAAATGGAAAATATTTCAGTTGATCACTTACCCAGAGAAATATTTAGAAATAGGCTTCAAAATCAAAATGAGAATCTGAAGTTTTAATAGTTATTAAAAACCAACATTTTATCACGAAAAATGGGAACTATTGAAATGTTTTGAATTAAAAAGAATTAATTTAATAATTAATAAAAAAACTTTTTTTAATATGTTTGCAAAGTTTTGGCTTCGTGGGTTTCTCAAACGGGGATTCTTATTAGTTATTCAGATACAGCAGTATGTCTGAAAGATCTGTATGGTTAGTTGATTTTAGTTAATACAAAATGCTGGAGAATTTTCTGCTAGAGAAAGGATACTTTCATGGAAGACGTTTTAAAGGAAGCGGAGCTCGTGTTCTTGTTACACATAAAGAAAACCATAAATCATCTATGCAGCCAGCCTCTTCGTTGTGATTCGAAGCTTGGTCTTGTAGAGTCATCAGGTTTATCACAAATATTATCGCAAACCAACAGAATAAATAAAAAATTCCGAGGAAAATACAAGAAAGAGAAAAAAATGCGTGGGTTTGTTGTGGTAACAGGAGATAATCTCACAGTACTTAAAAATTATTTTCGTCCATAACAATAAATAATTTAACTACAAATGATCTGGAATATGTAAATATTGTTAAATCAACAATTGAAAAACTGTAAATTACAAAAATAAATTAAGTGCATAGCTATTAATAACCTATTTGAAATCGAATTTAATCAAAATACAAGAATATATAAACAAAAACATTGCTTATTCTGTTTTGAAGTATGTTCTATTCAAAACACTGTATGCCAGTGAATTAAATTGTTTTAAAATACTAGTAAACTGTTATTAGTATATTCTGTTAATTACAATATATGTTATTCCTCTCTCCTATGTTTTTTAACCGCTGCCAAATACCCCAAGATTTTAGATTAGCCATAGACGTCGTTTCCGGAATTACCCCGGTCAATCGGAAATTTACTATGTTTGTTATATTTGGCGCTAAAGCCGTTACACCGAGTTATAATTCCTGCGTTTGAATTTGCAGGTTTGTTTCTCTGCAGTATTCATGTAGCTGCAAAAGACACACATTTACAGGAGTCACCTTTCTGTCTTAGACCTGGCGCCTGAAAAATTCGCTGTCGAAGCCCTTTATTTGCAACGGTTGCTCGGAAGCAACATATGCTATCACCATTTGCCAATTAAAGGATTATAATTTTCCGTAACGGTACTATAGCTATTTTTAAATGATATGTATCAGTTAAATTAGATGTTGTGTGTAAGTTCATCGGATATAAAAGCAAAATAAGCAAAAATATAATCTATTGTTTTTAGAAAACTGAAAATTCTAATTCACTACCGAAAAAACATCGTTAATGCATTCACAAACCAAAACAAATTGCATTCGAAAAGAAACTTCTGTGACCTTTACCATCATGTTCGATTCTCTCTTCAAAGCTAATGCCTGTTTCATATAATAATCATAATTCTGTATAATTTTATGTAGTTGAAGATTTATTATTTAACACTTGGGTATAAACGTTCACTTTAAAATTTCTGCATAGGAAATTTTGTAATTAATATCTATAAGTCTGTTTATTATAGATAGTAAGGTAAAATACGGTACAGTCTTGGCGCTATTTTGAAAATTGTCGCCAATACCAAAATGGCACGATTACTGCTCATCATGAGTCGCCAAAAGTCGCTAAATCCCGTGTGTACCGTATACTAGGATTAAACCGATAATAACATTGCGTCATTCAACCGATATAACATATACTAGTGACGAATCGTTTGATATCGCCATGTTTGGTTTCAGATGGTCTATTAGAAAGAAATTTTTTATCATATTTATCATTGGCCAACAGAGTAACAGAAAGACAAAATAATAGCAAAAAGGTAAACATTACAATTAAGTGATGCATTTTTTTTGGCATTGTGATTTTGTTATCTGGTTAAAATGATAACGACTAGCTATTGTGTCGCTTTCAAGAACTCTAGAAATGCGGACAACTAAAATGATGATAAGTAATGGAAGTAGTTAATGGAATAACAAGTTTTTAAAAATAATCTAATACGATTTTGTGTATGTATTTCAGTTTCTGCTCAATAATAAATACTATGATCAGAGTTGTTAGTAGTACCATTTTAAGTTGGGTTTTTCGCATGTTCACTGTATATCATGTAATAATTTCTATCCTACTATAAAATGTCATATATCTTTTGCCTTTTTTATTTTCTTTGGCTATGAATATTATTTTAGTTGTGTATACAACATAACATACAAAAATTACTTTTAAATTTTAAATTATTTTTGTTATTATATTTCTAATTACACTGAAGTTTTTTTTTGGGGGGGGGTCTAGTACCCGTTGTAAAATTCTGACACCTCGATATGATTTGAAATTCAGCTCCAGATGCATTTTTCTCTAAAATACCAGCATATTTAAACATTTAAGTCTCGAACTATATTTTTTGTGTATAATTGTATACTT